CCTCCCGGTGCGGCCCGGGCCAGCCCAGCCACGCGGCCCCCTTCCTCGGGAGTCCTGCAGCCCCGAAGCCGCTCGGCCTCCACTTCTCAGGGACACGCTTTGTCACCCGGCAGAGTGAGAGCAGACGCGCAGACGGGGTTCCCTGCGCGCCAGGCACGGTTCTCAGGGCGTTACACCGTCTTCCTCGGGGTGGGTACCGCGTCGTGCCCACTTTACAGATGCAGAGACCAAGGCACAGTGACTCGCCCACGGTCACGTGGTCATGGCAGCGCCAGGGTTTCAGCCAGAGTCCACACACTAAGCCCGCCCGCTGCACTACCCTATGTCCCATAAGCACGCAGAGGACAGGAGGGGGCGACCCTGATGTCCCCAGAGAGCCTAGCTCAGGCGTAGAGGCACAAGGCGGGATGGCATCGGGGCTGGTTTGTGGGGCCTTCGGTCCTGGGAGACGGCGCATGTCCAGCGGCCACTCTCCTGGCGTCTCAGCTGGCCTCCCCCATCCCTCCCTTCCTCCATGTCCACCTGCCGCGGGGCGGCTGTGAGTCAGTCCCTGGAGGGCTAGGGGGCCCGGAGATGCCCTCGGAACAGACCTCGGCTGCCCGGCGCCTGGGCCTAGCCTTTCCCCCAGCCCCCAGCACCAGGCCCAGAAGCTGCCAGCGCAGAGGGAGGGCTTGCTGGCCCACGAGGCGCGGAGGAGACGCAGGGAGAAGAAGCCTCTCACCCAGCACCACGACGTCCTTGCTGAACTCCAGTGTCTTCTGGTCCTGAGAGACGGCACAAGTCCAGCGGCCACTATGCTGGGGCCCCAGCTGGGACAGGGAGAGGCTGCCGACCCCACTTATCTTTTTATTCCCTGGACCTTGACATTGCAAGGAGGGGTTTCTACCCTGGGGGCCCTCCAAGCTCAGGGTCAGGCTCTGTCCCTGCAGCAGGCGAGTGTTGGAGTTGGCAGTCACTGTGGAGGAAGCAGGGGACCCGTGTCACACAGGAGACGGGCAGAAGGCCCACAGGAAGCCAAGAGCGTCTCCGCTCTCCCTGGTTCCAACGCCTTTCCTCCCGCCCCAGCAAGGCAGGGTTTCCCTCGCCCCTCGTCTCCTTTCCCTCCTCGGCTCCTCCCCCCTCTTCTCCCTCGGCCCCCTCCCCCTTCCCGTGGTTCCTGCCCTCTTCTTTCCCTCTGGCTCTGGCTCCTCCTCCCTCCATCGCTGGTCTGGAGGCCTGAAGAAGGCTGAGGAGACCGGGGGGCGGGTGAGCTCCCTCCCTGGGATCTGAGGCATCCCCTTCTCAGGCTGGCTTGGGGGCAGGGCTGGGCCGCGGGAAGGGAAGGGCCAGCTGCAGGGGTCCTCCTTCCCGCCTGCCCCACTCACGTGCAAACACCAGCAGCTCCACCTCCGTCTTCCTGTCCTGCACTTCACAGATGTAAGTCCCCGAGTCTCCCACCTCAAGATTCCTGATGATCAGGGGAAAAGATCCTTGGTCCCACAGGCTTTTTTTGGACTCGACACGTGGTTTCAGCCTGGAGCTACCTAAGAGAAGAAGCCGTGTGGGGGAGATTGAGGTGCCCAGAGGACATGGCACCCGGGCAAGGGTATGCCCACAAGTCTTCTGACCTGAGTTGTGCATTTCCTGCAGGAGAACCCAGCCTGACCGGGAGGCTCCATCGCTTCCATTTACCTGGCTGGGGCAGTCGCTCTCTAACCCCAAGCAACATGGCGCCCCTACCTAGAGAGCTCCAGCCCCTGCATGCCCAATTTACACGCACCATCTCAAGTAATCGCCACAAGAATTCCAAGAAATAGGTGCTCTTTTGCTTGTTTTGCAGATAAGAAAACTGAGACTCAGAGATAAGTGGCCCAAACTGGCCGGGCTCTGTGGCTTAGCCTGTCATCCCAGCACTTTGGGAGGCTGAGGTGAGCGGACTGCCTGAGCCCACGGGTTCAAGACGCCCCCAGACGACTTGGCGAGACCTCTTCTCTACAATAAATAACAAAATAAGCCGGGTGTGGTAGCACACGCCTGTAGTCCTGGCTACTTGGAAGGCTGAGGCGGAAGGATCGCTGGAGCCCAGCAGGTCGAGGCTGC